ATCACAAGCCAGCAAAACATCCACGAAACAAAGAAAGGTCTGTCACAGCCAAAAAATACACTCCAGACACGCCGCTGGCACTAGAGGCACAGCATGGCCGCCTAGTAACGGCCCCGACCACTGCCGCTCGACCTGATATATATATGAGTGTCGCTGCTTCAGAAAAATAATAATCCAAATGACAATTATTTCCTAATCAAATGCAAAAAAATGAAATCCTTTTTTTTTTTTCCTACTTGCTTGCTGTCTGTTCAACACTTTTATGTCACTTTGTTTTGTGGTCTGACTGTGTCTCTTTTTTTTTTTTCACTAACTTCTTTGCCTGGTAGGCCTTATGTACAGGTAGTGACTGGAGACTTCACAGTGTCAGATATACTAGGTGGTACTTCAGTACTCACCAAATTCGCCCAGATCAATTATACTTGTGACCTGTTGTAGTCTGACGTGGCTATCTGCCATAACTCGCAGTCTAAACCTATCTTTACTACCTCTTTCAGACCAGGTGTCAGAGTGATAGGACCATGTGTTGACTCTCTCCGTCCTGACCCAGACTCTACAACCCTGACATTCAGACCAGACCAGACCACTGATTCGTCCAGACAGCAGCAGCGACCACCAGAAAGGAGGGGGAAAAGACCCACAACACACAAATTTGCAATCAATCGAGGTAAGTGGTTCAAGAGGTTCTTCTCTTCTTTGTAGTCGTTGATGAAGACTCCACGTTCGCTCCAATCGCTCCAATTGCAGGTAAGTCTTCTTCTCCTTAGCTCCTTCTCCTTCGCCCAACTTCCCCCTCTCTCCCAATCCAACACCTTAACACCTCAACTCTAGCCAGCTGTACTCAAGCCAGCTTATCCTACTCGCAGGCCTTGATCATGTCAGCGCGTCCTGTGAGAGTAATAAGTACTGCTCCGATACCAAGCTGCGACTGTTCAATACGTGCTGGAGTGCATCACATCACATGCATTCACAAAGATTTCCCAAGCTGCGATGTCTCACACAAAGCCCAATAGAAGATGAATGAGAACCAGGAAGTTCAACTTTATTAATTAACAAACCCAGAGTAAGGAGGGCACATCATAAGTCCTATTGTACAGCGCCAATCAAAGTCACAAGTCTTCTTTAATCGACATGAGTTCCCTGGCCTGGTGCTCAGCCAGCACCAGCTGCAGGACATCAACAACAGCGCTCAATAGGTAAGTATCGCCATAACTCGCACCTCCCCCTCTCTCATCTGCTTTCTTCTCTCTCTCCCTCCTGGTCTATAGTACTGGTCTACTCTCACTCATCATGCATGCACACTCCCTATCACACGAGGATCTACTCTGAATACTACTCACTGGTACTCCTACTACTACTAACCCCTCTATTGCTACTAACTTCTGCTGGCGCAGCTATGGCTGCCTTCCCTCTTGCGAGCACTCTCTTCTTTCTCGCACAGCGCTGCTCTTCAGCCTAGCGCAGCTCACACACATCTAGCGCACAAGTGCCACGAYACTTCCACACTTCCATGCGAAGTGAGCATCTGTCCAAATGGGAGGCTGGCCAGTCCTTTATAGTGCTGGACTGGTCTGGCGTGGCCTGCATTCAGCCTCAAATGTGCCTGGGACTCCTGCCCAGTACCGATTGCTGCAAAGTGTGTGTCCCAGTATCTTTTCCCATGGTCTGCTGCTGCTTGGGCCATCAGGCCTGTCTTTTGGACTCCCGATCTGAATCAGGACTGACTTGTGGAATTATGATTGAATTGGGACTGTAGCCTTTGACTTATTGACGAACGGACATGACTTTTCATCAAGGAGACATGACCCTTTCTCAGTCTCAAAAACTGTGTCCAGTACCTGTTCGTGCAGGACCTGTTATAACCCTTTCAAAATGACTTTCCATTTCATTATGGATGTGACTTTTACCTCAAGAACTTTGTCTTTTGAGTTGCTGCTCGTGATTTTAAGCTCTGGCCGACAGAGCCCTTTGCTGTGGGGGTTTCCATTCGGGGTCTGATTCGTGAAGGCCCTTTTAATATGGAAGGAAGCGTGAGTGTGTTTCATGATGTAATATTTTTCTGACTTGCCGGGGGAATAGGAACCGGACTGATGCTCCCCAGAATGGAAAAGGAGCCAGGCCCATAAGGACCTGTTCAAAWRAAAAAAAAAAAAAAAAAGAATTAGACTTCCACCAGTGCTGGTGTCCTTCGGGACATCCGTTGAAATTGGGACGATATAGAGGGAGAAGATTAGCATGCCCCATATGCAAGGATGGTATGCATAAATCGAGAAATGGTCCAGATCTAAAGAAAAGAGAAAGAAAAAAAGAAATCGGCCTGGTGGAAATGGGTGTGGCAGGTGAATGAAAGAGGCAGGCGCAGACAGACGATCTGCATGAGCAATTACTCTGGCAAAGGCTACAGAACGCTGTTGACGGGTAAAGACCCAAACCTAGTGATCAGAGAAAATGGACAAGAACACCAGGATATCAACACAGACCAATCACAAAGTTACCATCGATAAGTACAAGTCTGTACGCCTGGAGAAAATAAAAGGCCTCCAATTGCGTATCACATATGTTGCTCTCCCCATAAATGAGTGAGCTTGAAAAGGCGAGTGACCAGTTGCTCAGTCAGTTCGTGTTCATGCTAATGCGAGACACGGATTAGAGCATACCGATAGTGTACTTCGCATCCCAGTCGTCATGCAGGCATCAGCACGGAGAGAGCAGAGAGAGACGCATAGACCTTAGACACAGAGACATGAACTTAGACATAGATGGACACAGAGAGATGAATGAAAAAACCTTCTGTCCTGTTCATTGAAACAGTGTCACCCGGCATACACCGCGTGCCGTAGCGTGAAGCATATCATCAGACTCGAAAAACAACGCCGTATCTCGTTGCCCCCGTGGTTGCTGGGACCTAGGCCTCCATGAATGGCTTTCGGCCGCTCACACACTAAATATAGAGCTTGGTTGTCGGTAAACTTCTTGTGTGACACTAGCTCTTCAAGATTGCTCTGGCAGTCCACACATATGGAGATTGAGAGAAACGCAATAAGGAATGGGCATACCTGACAGTCGATCTTCCTCCTGGAGACTCAGTGGAGAGGAGGACAGTCAATCCTCTTCCTCGGGAGGGATTGAGTGTCACGCAGCAGTAATGAATGCTGTTGAGGGATTCCTTCGGCCTCGGCGGAAGGAAGCGTGGTGTGTATGTATGTGAATTATGACTTGCCGGTGGAAAAGGAATCGGTCTGAAACTCCCCAGAATAGAATGGAGCCTGGACCATTAAAAGATGAAACAAGGAACTCATGCTGATGCGCCAACCACCATGCACAGAACATTTTGGCATGAAAAAAAAATTGGGTTGTTTTCGCGAAACTGTTTGTGAAAGAATTTTGCTTTTCAAAACTGCGAAAACATCAGTCACAACTCGTTCCACAAATCATGTTAGTACTGAAAGATGGGGTACTACAGGTCCTCTTTTTTTTTTTTTTTTTTTTTTTTTTTGAMAAAGCAGGGCCTTATGGTCCTGGCTCCTTCTATTCTGGGGAGCGTCAGTCCGGTTCCTATTCCACCGGCAAGTCAAGATGATCATTACATCAAGATAAAACTCACACACGCTTCCTTCCGTCGGCCGAAGGATCCCTGAACAGCATTGATTGCTCCACTTTGGTGGAGGATTGACTGTCAGCTTGCCTTGTCCCTCTCTTTCCTCTCAGACCTAAGGTTCCGATCTGCCAGATAACACTGTTTTTCCTAGAAAGAGCTCCTCCGCTACCCTTGCCAGTCTGTTTCGCCCCCTTGCATCTCTCTGACCCTTTGTGGTAGACCCTGGACCCTTGGCTTTCACTTCAGAGGCCTGACTTCCTCTTCCTATTTTGGCTACTTTTCCTTTATAAGGCCTCCTGAGAAAAAACCATCGCTCTATCCCCTCAAAACTGTGAACCGTCTTAACCTTTTAGGCTCGCCTAATATCCACTTGTTCTGGACTTGTAGTGTCGTCTTTTCCACTTAGCGCTGCCAAACGAAGCTGTGAGATTTTTGCCTGTCGAGGTCCTGTAGAGGTTTGCCCGTCCCTTGTTATCTGTTTCCGATAGCCTCTTTCTGAGATTTGAGCTATGCCCATGAATCCGAAATGTGCTTGTCCTGTCGTGTTTCAGGATGTAATTGGTACCAC